GTTTTGATTGAATTAATTTTTTTTTGTTTCCTACATATTGTATATTTTTTGGGTATTTCTTTCCTACCCTATATTTTTGCATTACTTTTATCCCTCTTAATTCCATATTTTTAGGGTAGATTTTCATAATGTACGACCTTTACAAACAAACCAAAGATCACGACGGAATTAAATTAAAAACGAAAAATAATTAAATTATTACTCACCTAAAAAATATTTTGAGGAGAACATTTTCTAAAGATGTGTGAGAAAAACTAAATGCAAATGAAACTAAGTTTTTATATGTAGATATCGAGTTAATTGTTGTTTAAACACAGCTTTATTTGTAATTCTTATTAGTATACGTACAAAAATATTAAATATATATTATTTTGTGTGCAAAAACAGTTTTATGAGATGTGTCCACCCTTGAAAAATATGAATAACTTGTACGATAATATTTTAATGACTGTAGATTACTATAATTTTATATGCCTCTTCAGTTTTGTATTTTACTTTTCTAAATTAATGAGTATAATTTCAAGGTTTAGTACCTATATATATTTCCTAGAATTGGGAATAGCGTATTAGAGCCCGGATTAAATAAAATATTATTGTATTATTGTAAAATTACATTGTAAAATTTTGTCTTTTATCGCATCAGAAACAAGACCCGACATAGCTAAAACAGAGGAAATGCTGGAAACAGCAGAAATAAGAATACTCAGAAGAATTGCAGAAAATATGCTGAGAAACTGAAAGAGGAGTGAAGCTATCAGAACAAAATGTAATGTACATGGTTTAACATAGTGGACACTAAGAAAAAAAGAATGAAACAATCACATCACAATAGAAAATATTCTATAATAATTATAAATAAATAATATTGAAAAATAATGCGATCAGTATATAACTCAAATATAACGTTACAAAAGACAAAATTTATTAACTATAACAAAATATATAAACTAACACTACAATTTGAATATTCTCAGATTGAGCAGTTTCGACTGTACTGTACTCTAAAATGATAATCATGCTTGCTCAAGGCCATTATTTCACATTTAATAGCTTCTTGGCGAATGAGAAAGCGAGTTCCGTCAGAACACGTGCGTGTCAGACTGTTTATGTTTTTTTCTTTTATGCAAATCACCAGAATTGAGCCTTATACAGAACATAATCATAGAAAATCTTCTAGATCTTCTAGAGATCTTAGCGACCACATTGGCCATCTTATTCTATTCACAGCAGCTCGAAATAGATCAGTTGACGTTAGACCAGTCCACTTCCTAAGATTGGCCAGCCAGGATATACGTCTACGTCCAGGGCCTCTCTTACCCTCAATCTTGCCCTGTAGAATCAACTGTAGAAGTCGGTATTTATCATTACGCATGATGTGGCCGAAGTAAGCCAATTTTCTGTTTTTTATGGTGTTAATAATTTCTTTGTCTTTTCTTAGCCTCTGGAGAATAGTTATGTTACTTGTGTGGTGTATATATGAGACCCTCAACATACGTCGGTAGCACCACATTTCAAATGCCTCCAATCGTTTTATGGCATCTTCTGTAAGGCTCCAGCTTTCTACTCCATAGAGGAGGACACTAAAGACGTAACATCTAAGAATTCTTATGCGTATATTGATACTTAAAGATAAGTTGCAGAGAATCTTCCTAAGGCTGTTGAAAGAGCTTCTGGCTTTTTCAATACGAGTTTTTATTTCGTAGCTGTGATCCCAAGTATCCTTAATATTGCAGCCCAAATAGCATATTTTTTCCACTCTTTCTAACGGTGTATCGTTAATTGTAATTTGGGCGTTTATGCCGGTGTTCTTACTAATGATCATTATTTTTGTCTTCTTGCAATTTAGTTTTAGGCTGTATTTGTTACATGCTTCTACAACGTTATCCATCATCCTTTGGAGCCCCTGCGCACTATCTGCCAGCAACACTGTATCGTCTGCATATCTAATGTTGTTTATAAGTTGGCCATTTACAGCAATCTCATCTTCTGATTCGTCCAAGGCCTCTCTAAAGATGTTTTCAGAGTATAAGTTAAATAATGCCGGTGACAATATGCAACCCTGTCTAACTCCTTTTTTGACTGTCAAGATCTCGGACAGTTCATTTTCTAATCGTACTGTTGCTTTTTGTTGGAGATATAAGTTTGAGATCAGTTATATATCCTTTATCAAATGCCTTCTCGAAATCAATGAAACATGCATACACATCGCAGTTGACACCCCTGGCTCTCTGTATTAGAACTTGCAAACTAAAAAGTGCTCCCTTGTTCCGAGTACTGCTCTGAATCCAAATTGAACTTCACTCAGGTGTTCTTCTAATTTGGTGTATATGCGCGAGTGAATGATACTAAGGAGTATTTTAAGTACAGGGCTCATTAAACTAATTAATCTAGGTTATTCACATTTTCTAGCGTTGATATTTTAGCAGGTGGAATGAATATTGATAGTAGCCAGTCTTTTGGTAAGTAACCAGTCTCGTAGATGTTGTTGAATAGCTTCGTAAGAGCTGTGATTTGGTGTGACTCTAACAGCTTTAAAATTTCATCATGCCCCGCATCAGGTCCTGCATTTCGAACAAAAGATTTTTTGCATTTTAAAGTCCACACTTCACTTCCATACGTTACGACAGAGTCCACTAATGCTATTTCAATCCTATTTTATTCTCTTTTTGCAAACTTATATTGAGCCCCCATTCTTTATATGTTCCGTGTAGTCTTCTCAACATAAATTCCAAATTACATAAGTCCTGTATAACAATAGCTTGATCATCTGCGAAGGTAATGCTGGTTAAGTAGCCGTCGCCCACTGGTATCTCCATACCAGCACAGCTGCGTCTTCACTGATATAAAACTCTTTCTAATTGAAGATTATATAATAGAGGAGATAGACTGTTTTAACTCGTTTAGTTGCCAATATAACTTCTGATAATAGTACAAGATCCCACTACAGGATCACTACGTTCATAACGTAGATAATCAAACTAACATTTTTACATTCATTTCAAATTAGGAGAATACATTGATAATAGGTTGCCAGTCAAAAAGTGGCTCGCAGTGATATCTTAGGCTATAACATATTATCAACACGAATATAGCCCTTGTTTTCTTTCCAAATTGCTGGTCTATTTTGAAACAATGGGGGAAATTTAATAATAGAAAAATCATCATTTTTTGGTCTAGTTGGGATTTCTTCAAAGGAATCTTCAAAATTGATTTTAAACAATATTTTTCCATTAGTCTATCTTGTAACGCCGATTTTTGATAACATCGAGTACATACATTTAATTCAAGGTCAGGTTAGCTCATGTCGGAGAGAAGGTGTGTTAAGGTCAACTGCACAAAAAAACTACGTAGTATGTCAAAATTTCAAACACAATTAGATAACTGAAATTATAATTTATCATTGGACGCCACCCCTTGTTTATCCTCGTAGGGGACGAGAGAAGATAAAAAAAAATAAGATATATAAAAAAATTTACAGCGAAATTACACTTTATTTCTCAGTAATAAAAAGAAACATTAAAAGTTGTTATTTCCAAAGGATACTAAAATACCATTTCATAATTACATTACTATAAACAAAGCAACTTTCTATCTTTTTAAATCAAGAATTGGTTGATAGAAACAAATGAATTTATATATTATTCCCAAATTTCGAAATTCGTTTACATTTAAAATATTATAGTAGTTATTTATTAACTAGGCAACATAGAAAAGTTAAATCTATTTATTAACTAGGCATAATAGAAAGGTTAAGTCTTTAAACAAAATTTAAAATATTTCACTATATTCTTGTCTCTGTGAATCCATAAATAATTCTCGCGTTCCTGATAGGGCTTAATAAAAAAAAGGTACAACCTTATTTATCCAATCTCTGGGAACCAGGAAAAAAGGGACATACTCTGCTTCTTCTCATCCGTTGGTTATTTCATCAAATATTTACTAATAAGAATCCATTTATATAATAGGTAATTATTGGAAACCATATATAGGGAAGTATTGGACCATAGGAAACTGTCTCAGTTAACTTAACATAATCAATGGACTTTAACCTCCCGGAAAAGAGTCTGAAAATAATTATTCATCTGAAATATAGACAAGAAAAAGCTTTTCTTTGTAGCTTACCTCTAATCTAGAGACTCACTTCGAAAACGCGTCCTATCGGGTGGACGTTTGTAACAGGAAAGGAAGCGACGCTATTTCAACGGTTTTGAATTGGGGGCGTGATTGACAAGTTAATATCGTTCTCATCTATCGGATATGTTGGGAATTACCGTAGAAACCTTGAGTCGAATACAAGCGCCTGGCAGATAGGTGGGGTTAGTAGTTTTATTTAAAAAAAAATAATCAAATTTATAATGAATTTTCTAAAACTTTTGAAACGGTTACAATCTTAAAACACGAATATCTGTAACTATATTACCACAACTAATTTACCAGGTCTAATAGAGTTGTATTTCCTTTGTTAACCTTAAATAGTCATTCGGAAGATAAATTTCCCTATTTTTTAGGACTGTCTCAATAGAGCTGTGCACTGAATCACACTCCATTTGCGTATGACCTTTTTCTAAAAAAATTTTTAGTCAATAATGACATTGTATTTTTCAGATAAGAAAAGCAAAGTATTAGACATTACACAGTTCCGGTTTTTGGCAGTATAGCCATCAGAATAGACAGTTATGGGAAGTTTGTGTGATGAGTTCAGAAAATGTTCTTCCAAATAATGTTTCAGAAAAGATGCGTAGGTGGAAGCGCAGTGATATCTTAGGCTATAACATATTATCAACAAGAATATAGCCCTTGTTTTCTTTGAAAATAATAATTATCGCCTATAAATTTAGTAATAAAGTAAATCTAAGACTCAAGTATAACCTACCACTTTGGTCTAAACTAATCTTTCCTATCAACTGTAGTACATGCATTAAACTCCAATTCTTCATTGTTTTGTAACATAAATCGGTATGATCTTACAATAACTTGACCGATTAATTTTTCTGTTCCAGCGAAAACATGGGGCGAAGAAAAAGATCCTCTCATACTCTGCTTTCACGGAATAATGGACAATGCTGGAAGCTTTAACAGACTTATTGCTCAATTGCCTTCCACGTTCTATTATGTGTGTATTGATTTGCCAGGACATGGAAAATCGTCGCCGTTTCCTCCTCACCTACCGCTCCATACTCTAAACTTTCTTTTGGTTTATAAACACGTAACTAGGTTCTTCAAGAGAAAGTTTGTGATCATGGGTCACAGTTATGGGGGCCAATTAGGCTTTTTGTACGCCCAGATGTACCCCGAGTGTGTCGAAAAACTTGTTATGTTGGATACAGTGACAATGTACCCTGTACCAAGCAGCTTTTGTATAGATTTTTTAGTTGACAGAATAGATAATCATCTTAAAATCTGTGATAATTTAAGCAATAAACAAGCACCAGTTTACACATGGGAGCAAGCTTTAGAAAAGGTACAAAAAGGGCGAAATTACAACGAAATAAAGCGGGAAGCTGCCGAAGCTTTATTAGAAAGGGCCGTAGAGCCACAGGGAGAACTTTACAAGTTTACGTTAGACCAAAGATTAAAAAACTTTGTGAATCCTTTACGAGACCATAGGTTAGCTATGGAAGGTATGAAGGTCAATCCTGTAAAATGCCCAATATTGATGGTTTTAGCGAGCCAGAATGGATTTCAATTGAAAGTAATGGAACCTGTTATAAAGTTTTTGAAGAAATGGAAAAATGTTGAATTACATATGGTAGAAGGCAATCACGATGTCCACAACGATTATCCAGATAGAGTCTCCCCATTTGTTAACAAATTTTTATTACATAAGAAAGGAAAACTGTAGTAGACCGAGTTATTATTTTTTCCTACAACTTTCATTGCATATTATTATCCATACAATGGAGAACTTTACTTTATTCACCATGCCCTACATTAGATGTTGATATTAAATATCAAATTTGTCTTCGGGCGTGGCTATTGTCATTTAAACAGTATCATAGAACCTCCCTCTATTGACAGCCGCTCGAAACAAACCTTCCACCTGAAAACCCCTTTATTAGCTTGTTAGTTAACAAAAGATAGTTTACGCACAAATCGTGTCTTCTTTCGACTTTCTCTGAATAATGAGTCGCAGTTAGAAGATCTTTTCGAAGGTGCATAGAGATATTTCTGTTACATAATTTAATTTTTTATGACGACCATGCTAGATAACTCAATTGTGGAAAGAATTTTCTTGTCAGTCACTGTTGCTGTACAGCTACCTCCCAAAGTATTTAAAATGCTCTACCTGTTCAACGTCTTTGTACCTAGATGTATTTTATCTACGATAATTTTCGTGGTATTGAAATTAAGAACTCTAGCAACTTTCCTAATCAGATTAACAATCATCTGAGGGTTCTCAAAGCTTTCAGATAATAGAGCCCAAACTGAGAAGTTGAACAAAGGATCCTAATATTGTCTGTCCAACTTGTTGGAGGTCTTCCAGGATTACGTATATTCTTTCTTGGTCTTAATTCTAAAATGTTTATGGTTCATCTTCATCATATATCATCATACTTTCATTTAACTTTGTGTTGTATAACGTCATTTGCATCACTTCTTGTACGAATTAGTTCGTTTCTTCCTCTATGCCTTTAAAGGTATGTTCAAAAATGAGTCCATTCAATATGGCGTTAGTTACATAATACGCAAGAACAGGTATAAATGTATTCATCTGTGAAATCGATTGTGGAAAAGGTTTTTGACAAGGTCCGACATGCCAAAAAAAACATATTGGAAACAGCAGGGTTGGACGATAAAGATAATAATTACAAAAACAAATAGTTACAAATCTATACTGGCATCTAGTGGATGAAATAAATATAAAAAGAGGAGTGAGACAAGATTGTATACTCTCGCCTTTACACTTTAACTTGTATTCAGAGAAAATATTTAAGGAAGCGTTAATGGAGACAAAACAGTAGGTATTATTGTGAATGGTGTAACCGTGAACAGTATTAGTTATGCCGACGATACCTTAGTGCTGACTACGAAGAAGACCTTTAAAATCTTAATAAATCAGACCTGTGATCAGTATGAGTGGTCAGTATCAGCATTTAACTTAACGTTAAAGAAACCAAATATATGATAGCAAATAAAATAATATACAGCATGACGGTATAAAAGTCGGAGATGCCGTAATGGACAGAGTAGAGAAACTCTTGTATCTCGGCAGTAATATCAATGGTAGCTAGGATCCAATCGTAGAAATTAAAAACCGAATAGAGCACCAAACAAGAGTCTGTGCAAACGACTATTAAAACTAATCCAAAAAATAATAGAACCAAACAGAATTCCTCATCGAGATAATCAAGTTGAACATCAACTGATACTGAACAATAATCAGGCTGATCTGAACAAACAGAGCCGCAGGCTGCCTGAATGAAACCATATAGAGAAATAAAAATATCGGGACATAAACGAAAGGCAGAATTTACAAAACAGTCATCAGACCAATAATGACATACGCGGCAGAGACAAGACCTTACACAGAGAGGACAAAAAGGATGTTAGAAACAGCAGAGATGAGAACACTTAGAATAGTTGATAGGACACTATGGGACAGAGCTAGAAGTACAGATATACCAGATATACGACGTAGATGCAAGATGGAGAACATCAAGAACTGGTAAGAAATAGAAGAGTAGAATGGAACGATGATCATATAAGCCGAATGACAACTAATAGAGTAGTAAAGACGGCAAGAGACGGTTCCCCAATAGGAAGACGATCAGTAGAAAGACCACGAAAACGATAGAACGACAACTTACTGGAGGCGCATTGAAAAACAGACAGAGTCATGTCTTCATAAAAAAGAAGAAGAAGAGTTAATAATACAATCATCCATAGCGCAGAGTGTTTGCTATGTCCCTGCCAAATATTTCATTATTATCTCTATATAACAATGATGATACAGTCTTGCTTAGCATTATTTAGTTGATGGCTTCTGTTTTGATTCCATCGCCTCCAGAGGTCTGGTTGTTAGTTTTCTTTTGTTTGAGGCATGTCGTCTCGTCTTGAGTAATGTCCTCGGTTATGTACTTTCTATACGTGGATCTGCTTTTTCTTAATGTTGGTTTGTTGTTCACACAATGTCTAGATTTTTTCAACAATTTCTAGTATTACTTCTGTTTGTTGTTACATTATCCTGTTATCCCTTAGCTGAAAGATTGATGTTCTACTTGTTGGTCCTCCCGCTGCGTTCTTTTTGCATTTATTAAATATCCTTATCCTTATGAATTGTGGGTATATCTTTCTATTTGTAGTCGTTTTCTTTTATTTATTTCGAGTTAAGTTTTTAAAGCAATCTTTTCATGGCGTTAGTCTTTGAATATTATGCGAAGAGCACTTGAAGGATGGGAAAAGGGCATCTCAATAAATGGTCATAAACTAAACAACCTACGTTTCGCAGATGACACAGCCCTTCTTGCAAATAGTCAAGCAGAGCTGATGGAACTTATACGACTGATCGAAAACGAAAGTCAAATATTTGGTCTGCAATTAAACATATCAAAGACAAAGATCATGATAGTGGATAGACTACACAACAATCATCCACACATAACCACAATTGACCGGTTCGAGGTTGTGAGCTCATACTTATATCTGGGATCATTAATCACAAACACAGGGTCATTACAAGAAGAGATTAAACGTAGATGTGATCTAGCAAAAGTTGCCACAGCAAAAATGACCAAAATGTGGAAGGAATGTCAAATTTCAAGAGCGATAAAGATGAGGTTGATCAACTGCTTAATATTCCCAATAATGACCTACGGATGTGAATCTTGGACTCTGAGACAATCGGAGAGAAGAAAAATAGACGCCACTGAAATGTTCTGTTGGAGACGAATGTTACGAATTCCTTGGACCGACCGTAGAACAAATAATTCAATTTTAAGAGAGCTAAAAATTAGCCAACGACTCTCTAGTAAAGTCCATCTTCAACAATTAAAATATTTTCGGCATGTTATGAGAGCAAACACAGAAAACATGGAAAGACTCATAATACAAGGAAAGGTAGAAGGCCGAAGATCACGAGGAAGATCCCCAACAAGATGGATAGATCAAATTACAGGAATATGCCAAAGACCTATGCATGAATTAAAAGAAATGACCAGAGACAGAGATCTCTGGAGACGGACAATACACGACATCACGTCGACCACTACACTCCCCCTGGGGGGTCAAGATTGAAGAGAGAGAGTCTTTGAATAGAATCGTGACTATGCTATACAGCGTTTGGTGTTGTGAGGTATCCAAGGGTATTACGAATGTAGATGATGTTTTATCTTGTGGATGTGTCCAGTCAATGAATTCTGTAAAAAAATATTTTTCTTTTTGTAGAAAGGTCCGTGCAGGTTTTGATGAAATATTGGTTATTTTCTACACGATATGTTTGAGCTTTACGCTAATACTAAATGCTTTCGATCAGATATCTTTATATTACTTTACCTTTTGTCGGACGAAGAGCTTAGACATGTGGCGCCGAAGATACCTTAAAATTTTCCAAAAAGGATGAACAAAAAGGGGAAACTAATCTGTGGGCTTATACTCCTACTAACATGCCAATATCAGAACCGCCTACCAACGTTCACACCAGATTCTAACAGCAGGAAAAGATGCACATTCTTAACATTTGTTCTTTACGTAGAGAAAAGACGTGAAATAAAAGTAGACGACTGCATTTCTTTTCAATTCGAGCTCCGTCATTCTCCTACACATATTTCGAGGTTTTGCCCCTCATCCGGAAGACTTGTGGTAACTCGAATTGAAATAAAATGCTGTTTATCTCCTCTCTGAAGAGAAATCTCCTGACTTCTGGTTGCTTCACATAGAGGTCGCTACTAGCATACACAGGCATGTTATGTTACTGTAACGGCCATATAGATAAATAGTATTTTATTTTAATTCGAGCTACCACATGTCTTCTTGATGAGATATGAAATATCGAAACCGTGTAGAAGAATGGTGGAACTCGATTTGATATGAAATGCAATCATTTACTTTCACATAAAGTCTCATACACTCTCAATAAAGTATCAGTATTAAAAAATTGACATTTTATTGAGAGTGAGGTAATAAAATGTGTCTCAAAGAAAATAATACGCAATGGAAATTGTAGAAAAAATCCTTTAATAATATTTTGTGATATAAAAATGGTTGGGGTCTTACAGACAGCGTAGTGTTGTACTTATTTTGAAATAAATTAATGTAATATGGCAACTGAACATAGAGAAGACAGTAACGCTGTTTATTTTGTTACTTACTTTTGTTAAAAAAAAATATTTTACTGTATGGCCAATATACCTAATTGGTCAATAGGTAACCTTTACGGGATATAAGAAAAAAACCTTCTTTTTTTTTGTTATTTTATTAAATTCCTTTAATGGTTTTATATAAGTTTATAACAAGTTATTAAAAAATTGTTAACATAGTGATGATTTTATACTTTATCGATTTTATTGGATATGTTTTTAACTATTTAAATTATAACTTATTGAATGTGAAACCAGTGTTTCTTTATTTAATTCTCCTTGTTCGAATCTTCATAAATGGTTATACTACTGTACAGGGTTTCTCATTATATTTTGACCCCCCACCCCCACTTATTTTCCTTAATTTCGGGAATACAAAAAAAAGTTTCAAATAAAAGCTGTATTATTTTATCTGAACCGACCAAAAGTGTAGCAACAGACCAAATTTGCCTGTTTTTATTATTTTTTACATAAATTGAGAATATATCTACTTTTTCATCTGCAGCATAACCCATTTCGGTATGAGGACTGACAGTTTATAATAAATTAATAATTGTTTCATTTTGAAATGTCAGTTGCATAGCCATCTATGGTTACCCTTTTGTAGTACCATATGCCATTATAGAACAAAACTAATGCTACACAATGTTATATATTGGTAATCAGGAAATGCAGGGCTACTCAAAACTATAAAAACAACAGGGTGTCCCATTTGAAATATTGAAGATGCATTTTATTGGGCACTCCCTGTATACAAAATTTGGTCTGTTGCTACATTGTTGGTCAGTATACAGCTAAAATAATACAACTTTTATTTGAAACTTTTTTTTGTATTCCCGAAATTAAAGAAAATAAGTGGGGGTCAAAATATAATGAGAAAGCCGGTACATATCGTTTAAGTAAATATTTTTATAGTCCGTTTCACCCTTTTTGGCCGATTTGATATTGAAAAAAACTGAAGTAATATGAAACTGTCAATCAAATTACCAAGGGCGGAGTGAAATATATTTTCTGAATTAAAATGAATCAATCACAATTGAATTATAAATACGTACAAATAATACAGATAATAATAGATATTTATACGCTCAAAATGCAAAGTAAAAAAGGAGTCCTGACTGACTAGTTCACAAAAACACTAAACTCTGTTTTTTAAACTAGGAGGAGTAAACAGTAGCAGAAGCAGTATCGGACAACTTCACAGATAAAAAACTTAAATTTTGGATATGTTGCCTGGGTGAGTCCATTTCAAATAGGTAAAAAGAAATAAGAATAAGACAAATGCTGAAATTATAAAAATCCAGTATTAGGGTACTGTCTGGTAAAGAATATACAGCAATGTGTGTGATTATTAAAATTGATTAAATCCACAAAGTAAAAATTAAGTGAAAAACAATCTAGTAGAATTGAAATTAAATAAATAAATAACTAATAAATATTACTTACATGCCGATACAAGGACTATTATTTAGTGTTTTAGAAAACATGGTTCAAACTGTTACGATAAACTGATAAAGGGTGATTATCGGATTTATTGTAACTAATTAATAAATTGAGGGTAAAAGATATTAACAACTAAACTAGGAAGTAGGTGTTGTGTAGACTATTTGTTGAAATGAAAGTCTTCTTCTTCTTCCTCTTTATAAGCAATTCTGCTTGTTCATTGGCGGATTAATACCTCTATGGAAGGTTGTCACTCCATCTTTTGTGCGGTCGTCCGATATTCTTATGCCGATTGGTGACATCTCTTGCTATTTTGATGACACGGGTCTCCTCCATTCTGCTTATGTGGTTATTCCATTCTTTTTTCTATTTTGTGTCCATTCATTTAATTTCTTCATTTCATTTCTTCACTTCTCTTTCGATCTCTCAGAGTATTTCCTGTAATTCTTCTCAGTGGTCTCATCTCTGCCGTGTCCGTAGCCTTTGCGTGTGGCTGTGTCGGATCTTGTTTCTGAGGCATATGTCATTATTGGTCCTACACTGGCTTTATAAATTCTTGATTTCATCTCATATAGTGTTGTTAAGGCATCCTGCCAGTCTATTTGCTTTTTGTACTTATCTCTCACTTCTTTGTCCAGTCTCCATAGCTAGACAATGTAATTCCCAGTATTTTATTTCCATTACTTGTTCAATACTGATGCCATCAATTTCTATTTTACATCTGGTTGGTTCTTTGCTGACTACTATTGTTTTAGTTTTCTGAGATGAGATTGTCATATTAAATTCTTTTGCTCTTATGTTAAATCTATGGACCAGTCTTTGCAGACTATCTTCATCTTGGACTATCAATATTGCGTCGTCTGCGTAACAGAGTATTTTGATTTCTTTGTTTCCCATTCTGTATCCTCTTCCTTTGTTAACGGTTTTAATGATTTCATCCATGATCAAATTGAAGAGCATGGGCTAAATGAATCCCCTTGTCTTATTTCGCTGCCTATTTCTATAGAATCTGTAAGTTGTCCATCTATTCTGACTTCCATTTTGTTGTTTTGGTATGTTTGGTTGTCTTGGTAATTTGATTGATAGTTTCATATTACTTCAGTTTTATTCAATTCGATTCGATTGCATTTAATTCGATTCCATTCGATTCGACTATTTTATTTTATTAAGAAATACGCTTGGGACTGCGTTTACTACTCCATGTAGTGTGTGGTCGCATGATTTGCGTTTCATGGCGTTTCTTTTGTTTTAATTTTTTCACACCTCTGTGCGAATCGATCAATGCATTCCTTCTGTAGCCCGCGATAAGGAAGCTATGCTTGCAAAAAATCGTGGAGTACTACCATTTAAAGGAGTGCTTTCGTCCGTATTGCACTAGGGTACCATTTGGTTGAATTATATGCACTTTTTGTCTTTCATCTTTGATATCCAACTTGTACGATCTGCTCTTCCCACGTGTACATACCAAATTAAACGTTTTTCTGTAGTGTAGCTTAGAATGTCTTGTTCCACTGCCTTCTTCTTTTTATCTCCTCATTTATAATACGATGCAATCTTGTTACTATACAGCTTCTTTTCTTGAATTCAATTTAGGTTGCTGTAATTGTGGACCTGTTTCGTTTATTAACCAATTTTCTGTCCCATATGTCATTATATTACATACCAAGGTATTATATCTTCTTTGGTAATCTGCTGGTTATCTCTTGCTCAGTGGTTCCATTCTTTAAGATTATGAATCCCAAATATTAAAATTTTTCTGTGTCGTAAATTTTCTATCTTCATTTATTTCCAAGTTTGTCACTGATTCTTGTTCTGTTATTAAATATTCAGTATTTTCTAGGTTTATTTTTAGTCCATTTTTTCATGTGTTCTTCTAGTTTTCGGACCATATAAGATAGATATTCTTCATCTTGAGCCGTTACCACTTGGTCATCTGCAAAACTTGATGTGTACAAGAAGTTTTCTCAGATAGGTCTTACCAACGTTCATATTTGCTTTTCCAAAGCTTTAATATTTGTATAATATACTATTTTTATTGGGAATAAGCCAGAATTTTATCTTAGAATAAGTTTATTTTGATGATTTCCACTGCATAAGTCGTTCTCAAAGAAGTCAAATCATGATTGAAGATAGGAACTGTTATTTGCATAAACATTTGTTTGCATTATTAAAAATAGTATGGCATAAGATGCTTTGTTGCGTATTTTATTACTTATATAATGTTATAATATAATTATTTTTTCAGCTAAAACATGGGGTGAACCAGATGATCCTTTAATACTTTGCTTCCATGGAGTTATGGATAATGCCGGTACCTTTAATCGGTTAATGTCATACTTACCGAACAGCTTCTACTACGTCTGTATAGACCTTCCTGGTCATGGCAGGTCATCATACTTTCCACCAAATCTACCTTTAAATGTCCTAAATTTTATTTTAGCATATAGGTATATTAGTTTACATTTTAAAAGAAAATTTGTGATATTAGGTCATAGCTATGGAGGTCAGCTGGGCTATGTTTACACTCAAGTCTATCCAAAAGATGTACAAAAATTAATAATGCTTGATACAGTTACACTATTTCCAGTTTCTGTTAGGAATTTGAAAAATCATCTATGTGAGAGAGTTGATAACCACATTCAACAGGAGATCAAGATGGCTTCGGGAACTCGACCTACCTACACAAAAGAAGAAGCTTTACACAAACTACATACAGGAAGGAGTTATGCGCCGATTAAATTAGAGGGCGCGGCAGCTTTGTTGGAGAGATCCATAGAAGAAGCTGAGGATGGTCGATATAGGTTTACCTTGGATCCGAGAATCAAAAATACTTTAACACTTCTAAGAGATCTCAGGTAAGTACTAGTATTGATATATTTTAGATACCCATATAATTATTAGAAATGTTACACTAGGATAATAATATATTACGTGCGTGCTGACATAGGAGTATGCGACTCACACATACATCAATCAAAAAGAATCATCTAAAACATTTTCTTTCGGTCAGTTTCTAGACCCTGTCCTTGACCCCATGTCCTTTTCGCTAGGGGTCAGAGGTATCTGAGGTAGGTATTTATTTTTGTTGAGAGTTGCTTTATAATTAAAATGTTGGTGCGATGCTCTGTATATGATATTCGCAACATTTTTCTGTTAGCCCATATCTCGAAGGTATCTAATTTTCTATAGGGAATTACAGTATAACGTTAAACGTATTAAAGACTTAAGTGAAAATAAATACAAGCAGCAAGAGGAACAAGGACGTTGCGAGTGAACACAGAAATGACTCAATCCAACTTTCATAGATCTACCTAAAGCATATAACAGTGTACCAGTTGCAAAACTATGAGAAACAGTAGAAAGAACACATATAAGCAATACCTTAATAAAAACCACCAAGGAAATGTAAGAAACTAAACAATAAAAATAGAATTGGAAACAAAGTAACAAAAGGATTTTGCGAAAATAATGGTCTAAAACAAGATTGCTCTTTGTCCTGTACCTTATTCAAAATATATGTGGAGTATATACTAATAAACTGGAAGAAAAAATGTCACATGATCGGGAGTCCACTCAGTAACAGAAATATATTGATATACGTTGCAATTTGCAGATCACCAAATTATCTTGGAAGAGGACAATCATGACTTGAAGAATACATGTCCAGGAAATTAAAAGAAGAGTACCAGAAAGCCGTAGTCGTACTGAACAAAAGAAACAACAACAATACACCATATTTCAGAAAAGAAATAAAAGAGAAATGTAAAGGGAAACGAGAGGCTCACACGAAGTACAAAACATCAAATACTCCAGAATCCCGATACAACTATAGAAGAATACGAAATAAAACAAAGTCAGTTAGAAAGAAGAACAAAAAATGAACACTGGGAACAGTTTACAAAAAGGATGGAAAGCGACTTTTACAGTACACAAAAACAAATATGGAGATTCATAAGAAACCAACGGAAAGAAATGGCAGAATTGAAGGAATACAATAACATACCAGCAAACGAAAGGGAAAGGTTTAAAGCAAAGGAAAATAATAACACAATAACGTACCTGAATTAAGACACGAAATAGAAATCAGTTTTCAGGAAGTAGAAATAGCCATAAATTCACTCAAAAATAGAAAGTCACCAGGACCAGACGGAATAACCAACGAGCTTCTAAAACACGGAGGAGAAAGTATAACCCTAGAGATGACAAAACTTATACAAAACTAATATTGCACTGCAAGATACCAGACGCATGGAGAAACAGCATAATGATACCAATGTTCAAGAAAGGAGATAAAGAAGACCCCAACAATTATAGAGGTATAAATCTACTGAACACCGCACTTAAGCTTACCACAAAAGTCCTAACCAACAAAATCAATAAACTAACAACTTTATCAGATGAACAACAAGGATTCAGATCCGGAAGATCCTGCGTAGACGCCGTATTTGTACTAAGACAAATCACAGAAAAGGCCATCGAGTACAATAAACCAGCATATATATGTTTTATAGACCTTACAAAGGCTTTCGATCGCATCCAAGTCGAAGACGTCTTACACCTACTGTATAAAAGAAACATACCAATCAATATTATACAAACCATCGAAAACATCTACCTCCATAATCGAATATAGGCAAAGATAAATGGAAAACTAACTAAAAGTGTATACCAGTGTATACCTAACTATACTAAAAGTGTATACCGGTACAAGTGGAGTCAGACAGGGTGACTCGTTAAGCCCACTTCTCTTTAATATAATAATGGACGAAATAATACAAGCAGTACGTAAAGGTCATTGCTACAGAATGGGGAACAAAGAAATCCAAATATTATGTTATGCAGACGACGCCGCATTAATACAACAATACAACAGTTATGAAATACAATATAATAATATCAGCAGAAAAAAACCAAATGTATGACAACATCTAAATACCCACTACGGTGTAAAATCGAAATTGATGGGAAAATAATAAAGCAGGAAGCAAGGTTTAGATATCTGGGAATAGATATAACTAGTTACGGAGATGTTGAAGAAGAAGTACGACAACAAAGCTTAAAAGCAAGTAAAGCGGCGGGATCTCTTAATGACACAATCTGGAAGAACAAACACCTAAGACAAGACACAAAAACAAGAATCTATAAAGCAGCAATTAGACCTATATTAACATACACGGCGGAGACAAGACCTGACACATCTAAAACGAGACGACTACTAGAAACAACAGAGATGAAAATACTCCGACGAATATCAGGGAAAAGTCTGTTGGATAGGGAGAGAAGCGAAAACATAAGAAGAGCATGCAATATAGAAGACATAAATGGATGGATGACAAAACGAAAACAGGAGTGGAACGAATACATCAGTAGAATGGCAGAGGATAGAATAGTACGAATAGCACGAGATAAGTCACCAAATGGACGAAGAAGTATTGGCAGACCAAGAAAAAGATGGTGCGACAATTTAAACAATTTAGGAGGCTAATATTGAAGAAGACACAGGTCTTAAAGCCTACATACAAGAAGGAAGAAGAAGAAATACCAGAAAGCCGGACTGATAGTTCAGTCATTTGGTAGTTTTACCTGGAAAGTTTTCCGGCAGTTTTGAAAATTGGTAATTTGCTAGATTTGGATAAGTATGATCTATTTCAATTTCAACTTTGCTACCTCGTATCTCCGCCATATTGAAAAAATTACGCCTAATAACAGTTTTTTACAATATCATCTTTTTGACGCATTTTACGAGAAAAACATTCTTATACAAAATTAAACTAGAAAAATTTCCTACAATTTATGTATTTTGATCAATAGTTTTGGTATTACGGTATCGAATGCTGGTGAAACAATTATTACTAAACACTTATTGCAATTTTTGGCCAGCCTTGCAACTTCTCAGACTTACAGACAAGTGACTATACATTAAAACAATATGATTGGGGACCGCAGCCAATGTGGCAAGAACTAGATAATGGTTATGTTTATTCTGCATTTTTAACTGAAAGATCGAAGTTAAAGCTATTGCCTTCCACTGGATGTAAAAAAGGTGCCCAGAAATTGCTACTTTTGGTTTGAAGATAAGAAGAAACCACTTATCGGAAAATTTACTTTTTCAAAAATGTTAAATACCAATTTAAGCTCTCTAACACTTACTTTTTCTATTGCACATGGCACAGCTCCTACTATAGATAATACACCATATGCAGTTTCATTTACATATAAGGCAAAAAGGGAAAGTGAGATGAAAAAAATATTGTTGGTAGATGTTCAAATAACAAACCATAAGATTCCAAATATCAACACCACAATTTGTGTTTCCCCAACAACATTTAGTAAGAAAAAAATTGTAGAGTTTTTTAGTTTTCACAGACTTGTAGGTGTTGAATCCTTCATATTTTATACCAAAGATATTCCTTATCGACTTTCAAAATTGTTAATGAATTTATCTAAAAGACTTGATGCACATGTAGCTTTTTTACCTTGGAATTTTCCAAAAAATGATATTGATGTAGCTCAATCTATAATTGAATATGATTGCCTGTTCCGTACCTATGGTCGATCTAGATTTATTATTACATTGAATTTAAATGAATACCTTGTTCCTACAACATCTTATGCCATTAATGAACTTCTCAAATGATTTAGAAAATCAGAAGGGCCACTCTCAGATGCCGCCTTTGAAGTTTTTCAGCACGCGCGCCATGTTTTAGGAGGACACAGACATATGATTTGTGTGGTTATGTAATTGTTTATATTTATGTTTAATTATATTATATTTATGTTATTATATTTAACAATGTTAATATAATTGTATAGTATGCCTATGATTGCCGTAAGTCAAATAAACCTGGTTAATTTTTCCATGCACACCACATAAACAACACTAATTTCTTTAAAATCCTCCTAAAACATGGCGTAACGTCTGCGCGGAGGAGATGCGCGTACTTAATTTTCCGTGGAGAGTGGGTATTCTGTTTGTTTATTATTCTGTGTCCATAGGTTAAGTTTACCCGTCCAAAAGTTTTGTATTAATAATGTAAGAAATAACAAACCTCTGGCTTTGCAAAATTATGATGTAAGGGATATCAATCATAGTGATATACGCTTTGTATATAAAAATGTTGAGGATAATAATTTCAATACAAATACAGTTGATAAAACAAGAGCATCAGTTCATAAGTATGTGAAATGTGGCATTTATAGTCAAACTACAACAGACTATAGCATGCAAAAGTTTTCAATCGATTTTACTAGATCTACTTTGGTACAGCTTCTTCTACATAACCAATTGTAAGCATTTTTATTGTCAATCATATCTTTACATATAATTAGGAATTAATAAAATCAGTTAGTTAATTGGAGATTGGACAGATTAAAGCAGAAATCTGAATTGGTTTCGAAAAATTAGTTTACGGATTTATTATCAGATGTCGCTATTTGCGTCTATACGAAGTCATATTAGAGTTGCTTCTACTAAGACAGAAAGATTTATTTTCACGTTCAGAGCGACTGTGAATCTCCGCTCTGCTTTTAGGGTGAAATGCGTATAAGCGGATGGATACACAGACTTTCCCTTTTTTTCCACTTATTACGGTATTGACGATTAGCGTATCCACATCTTCCGAAGTTTGTGAGACCGTGAAATTCTCAGCTTCAAATTGTGTCTTCAACATTCTAATGAGGCGATTGTTGTCGCATCATTCCTCACGAATTTTCTCTCTAAGAACATTTTAATTAACTTTTATTGTTTTATTTTTAGGTATACCAAAGAAACTATAATGCATAACCCAGTACGATGTCCAGTTTTAATTATCTTGGGAACCGAATCGACTGCTCAGCAAGTCTATTTTAGTTCGATTATTCAGTATTTTAAACAAAGAAGAAACATGAGGATTAAATACGTAGAAGGTAATCACGATGTCCATAATGACTATCCAGAAAGAGTTGCACCATTAATAAATAAATTTTTATTATACAGATCAAGCAAAATATGACCTGGACATTACAAATTACTATGTTATAATTGAAATAAAAATTTTGTCTGAATTAAATCTATTTTTTATAAAGGGAAAATTCCCAGTGGTTGGCTCTGTACGATAGTTTAATGACTTCTCTACAATGAAGTATAAAACTACAACGAAGGATTACAAATTTTCCAAACGTTTTCGGTCTTATCAGACCATGATACCTGAAAATAAGTAATTCCACTTCAATTTAATGATTTAAAGGAATAACATTTTTACTATTTATATCCTAAAAACATATGGTATAGTTTCTTACTTGAAGCATTTGGAAAAAACCACTTCCCACACGGTATAAAAACTTTTTATTTGCGTTTTAAATGTTATATAAATTAAAAATAAAGAGACATAATGTCGATGAATACAGATTTCTTCAAAGTGGAACATACTGACTCTATTCGAACTAGCGACCACGTCTGGATAATGGCAATCTTCACGGCCCGTGGTTTCAGTTCCTGGTCTTCCAACTCAGTTGGCAGTGGTCAAAGATTTTCTAACTGTGAGGAAGTCATGTATGCAGTTACCTTGAGGAGCAATGCCATTCTTATAAAAGGGATATCGGACTTAAACATCGCTAGGAAAAGTGTAAGTGAAAAATAAATACATTTTTTTCCAAAATTTTTGTGTTTTCTTTGTTGGATCAGGTACTTCTACTTATGCAACCAATAATACACTGCAAGCAGTAGACGCCGCTCAATTATTTTAACCCGGCCGGCATCAGACAGGTGAAATTTTTTAACGCTGTTCGACACGAGGAGTGTGACAAACCCCAAGTTGAAAATATAATATATTCGATAAAAAAAGTGTATTGTAACCGAAGAATCAATACATTTCTATGGAAATTAATAGTATGAAAACAAGAAACTACAATAGAATGAGTTTCTAGCTTATCAAAGAAAAAACAGAAACAAATACTACAGATTAATTATTGAGGTATCAGTTCTTAAAGTTGGAGCAATTTTCGCAGTATGTCACACAGTGTAAACACAAGAAACTTCACATGCCTCACACACGAATCTAGTTTTTATGTCTCTATTTCTGGCACATTTTGAACATCGTCCCTGCTGATTAGGTTTCCTCTTCTTTGCAGGCGGTTTGGAATTTTCACCTAAAATCTTTCGGATACTACTTCTTAACTCTCTAAATAATCTAGGGTTAATCATGATTTTTCTTTGATGTTCTTCGATCAATTAGAACCTCAGTTTCAATAGACAGGTATCATTGTGCAATGATACCTGTCTATTGTTTATTGATATATAACTTTATATTATATTGATAATAAACCTGTTTATTGATAATCAAATTATGTGTAATAGATTACAAATATGTGTTTATGATACTCGTACAACTTCGTGTTTATTGGTTAAATGGGGACATATTTCATTAATTGTGTTTTCAACCATGACCTCTCGAAATTCTTAATTTCTGTGGCAACTTTTGTTAAATATACCTACCTATTAGCAAAGAATATAGACGCTAAGCGTCTATATTCTTTGCTATTAGTCTTAAGAAATTAAAAGATTTTACACTGGCTTAAAAATATTTTAAGTTTTATTTTTCTAAAACCCCTTGTAAATAATATGATAAATCATGACTTAATAGTTTAATGTAGCAATATAGGTATATTTTAATTTAACTTAATCACTTATGTACCTAAATACGATAAAAAGTTTTTTTTTGATAAGCAGAATAATTGCATGTAACAATAATTATTGTACATTGAACGACCTTCACGACTTCATGGTCTTCATGAGAATCCTACACGACACGAAAGAATAAACGAACACAGATGTTTCTGGTTAGACTGTTGAACTCAGGAACTCGCTTGACTTGATGTGCGTGAGAGTTAGGTTATGATTTCCGTCCGAATATAATAAAGTTGTGCCAAAGTTAACATATTTTTATAATTAAAAATATATAAAATGGATACAGGTAGATCTGAAGACAAACCTGTGACAGAATTTAATATCTCAGTTCCTTGGGGACATATTAGAGGTAAGTAATAATTATATTACTAGTATGCACCAGATAGAATTTATTTTATAATAAATAACATAACATAATAAAAGATAACGGAACGGATACCCAAACCGATTCAGAGGAAGCTGCGCGGTTGGATTGAACACTGAATTTGTAGTTATACCAGGCGTAAACCAAAAGTTTCACTTAAATGCGATAAAAGATGACTGATATTTTTTCAATATTTGTTTTAAGTGCCAAAATATGTAAATATGATATAATTCAAAATTCTTATATCCAAAAAGAAAATTACAAAAAAAGTAAATATAACTAATTAAATAGGTATAGGTACTAGATACATATTAGGTATATTAAATTTACAATAAATATAAAATTATAAAACAATATAATAAAAGCAAATACACGGAACACATAAGTCCGAACTATAAAATACCTATATACTGGGTGAGTCACTACGAAGACGAAAGATTACAGCGAAATGATAAAAAATTTAAAATAATAGGTTTTTAACCAACAAGTGTATTAATAAGCACGATTAACAATTGAGATATTTTAACGCGTGAGCGGAGCGAGCGCGTTAATGTTCGAGATTGTTAATCGCCATTTTAATTCACGAGTTCGTTACAAAACTTTTCCGTCGACCGTACTTTTCAGAAATAAAGATATCTTAGTTTAAATTTTTATTTACTTAACGATAAACAACAATTTTTTCAGCTTTCATTAACTTTATTCAAAGTTTATTTTTCTTAGTGGTAGTTTTATTATTGTAAACATTAATATTCGAAATAGTACAATTACTGAAATTAAAGGAAGGTATTGACAAATGATTATCTGCTGTATAGCATTTTGACAAATTTATATTTAAAACTTCTTAGATCTCTGTAGGAGTGAAGGAATTTGGAAAACGTATTTATGCCAACTGGCTGTGTGGAACATTTGTTATTTTTATAAAAAAATGAAAAATCGTTAATGTGGTGTGTGTTCCGGTCTTAAAGAAATATAGTTTTTGATCGCATTGAGAATGATATTGCTTCGTTATCTACTATGGCAAATATTCTATTCGTGTGTGTTTTTGATACTTTTATTGTGAACCCAAGTCTTGAACGTTATTTGTTTCTAATTTCAATAGTTCGTACTTTCGTAACGCACCAGCCACTCCGAAAATCAATGCAACCTACAAAATAAAATGTTATGAAATACGAGTATTAAATATATAAACTTAATTTACTGGTTTACCTTAATCATTAGAAACACGTCGTTAGGAGCATCAGAGATGAATTTCTGGACTTGCTCTTTTTCAAGTGTTTTTGATTTTTTTGGTACATAACCTGTTCTTTTTTTCTTGATAAACATAATTAACTTATTATATTTAGATATATCAATGTTTGATTTTAAACTTAAGGTTGATTTTAGCATCGAATATTTGGGCCACAAACTTGCTATTAGTCCTTTTTCGTCAATGTTTGAAAAATATATCAACAATACAGATTCTGAATATCGTATTATTTTTCTCTCGTCACACCATGCAATAAATTTAGCGTATGTTTTTTCGTACAACACTCTCCTTTTTTAGTCAGTAAACTTAAAGATATTTCATTTGCAGTTTCTGTCACTTCTGGTGAAGTTAAATTAAACTCTTCATCAATATCCATCTTTTGATTTTTCAAATACACAGAATTTTAAACAATAAAGTAAATAATGACATACAATGACAGATAGTACTAACAGCGGCTACTGCATTTTAAATTTTTTAGTGGGAATATAAATAGGTATATGTTTGGTTGCCTACACCACAGGTCACTGCCAATCACAGAGCGTTTAATTAATTTATGCAAGCAATGTATGTTGTGTTGCCTATAATGAAATCGTTCATTTATAGAAAATCATTTATTAATAGGGGTCATTAATCAATGATTTTGAGGGTGTTAAAATTGATCATAAATGGACAGTCGACGGAAAAATTACATTAATAGTTTGTAAAGTAAGTTGAAAAAAGCTACATTTTAGAATTATTTTGAAATGTAGAGGGTGTTCCAATACATTGCGGGGTATTAAAGTTATATTTTTTCTGTAGAACCTCTATTTTATTGCATTTTATAATTGTCCGCAAAAAAATAAGGTATAGTTTCATAAGGGTTCACTACACCTAAGTACAGAGTGTTCTGAGTTATGTCGACTTTTAAATGACGACATTAAAATGTAAGTTTTAAAATAAGAGTCATTCTCAACTTAAGCAATTACCTATAACCAAATTTTGTCTTATATCTAAACAGTTGGAAATTTATTTAATGTATTCCTTGATTGAGTCTTAAACATCTCTTTACAGGATGTTGTATGTGGCTTATTTTAAGTTGAACACTGGGTATATTCATAAATTATAATATTAAACAAATTTTCCTTTCGAATGGTATAAGGATGCTCTATACCTAGGTGTCATAGTTACTGCGTAATTTACAATTTTCTTAAACGATAAATCGATTTTAAAATATTTATAGTTACTCTCGATTTTTAAACTTATCATCTTGTCATAGTTGTTACAGACGAAAACAGGGTATAGGTAACCAATGGTGGTCAACAAAAGGAACAAGAAAAGGACGTTGCTCAAGCACTTCAAATAATACAGAAAGCTAAATCACTTGGAGTAGATGATATTCTTAAGGCAGTAATAAAGAAATTGAAATATCCGAAAATCAGTTTGGATTTATGGAAGGCACACCAACAACAAATTCAATTTTTCCATGAAAATATGAGAGAAAGTACCTCATTAATACGCAACTAATGAAAAAATTTAGTGCTCATTTATTCTCATTTAAATTGCATAAGAAAAATCTGCAAGATAACATTATCAGGTGCTTACTGTATGCTGATAGTAGAAAATTATGAAAGGGATTTAGAGAAGACACAATACTGGAATGGGCTCTAACGATCTCTTCTTGTTTGGTCATCGTATATATATAGATATTTTTTTGTTTTCGCGCTTTCCACTAAGGATTACTTCCATAGTAATATGTGTTGCTTAGACTGATCCTATTTTGGTTCTGTTCTGGTAAATTAATCTTGATCTTATTACCACGAACATCGCCTCAAAATTTTTGGATTATGTCGCCAATTTGTGCTGGTAATAGCGCCTTTTCTTTAACCCTTCTTCGGTTTGGAATCTTTTGGTGCATATATCATGTTTATCATTTTTCTGCTTGCTTTCATCTCTAAGGATTCATTATTGCTACACTTTTTTTTGCTGCCTTTTGTTTTGGTATATCACTATACAGAGTGGCCCAAAAGTCTGGAAACGACCAATTATCTCGTAAATTTCTAGTCATAATTTTACAAAATTTGAGGTACACCTATTTTAGGATACGGAGATTCCACATTTGATATTTGAAATGTTGCCAGATTTGCCGTTTCTCTTATATTATGATGAGTAAATTTGGTTTTTCAAATTCATCACCATGTATATTCAGTCATTATTGGAATCTCCTATTCAATACGAGTTCAACCATATGCAACACTTATGATTTTATGTAGTGTAGAAGGTCTTAAATATATAAATCAGAAATCTGGCAACGTCTACATACATTTCTTTAATTTGATTAACATTATTTTTCCTTCTACATATATTGTATCAGTAACTTATACATTTTATTTATTCTAGTGAAAGCCTGGGGATCAGCAGATAACCCACATGTGTTAGTATTCCATGGCCTGGCAGATAATGCAGGTAGCTTTGACAATCTGATGCCCTACTTATCAAATAGCTTTTATTACCTTTGCATGGAACTTCCAGGACATGGCAAATCTTCTCATTTTCCTTCAAACCTGCCAATACACACGACAGACTATATAATCGTTTATAAATTAATTGCAGAACATTTTAAACAAAAAAAATATATTATAGTATCTCACAGTCTAGGAGCGCAGATTGCAATGATGTTTGCCAGGGTATATCCTGATTATGTAGAAAAATTGATTGGATTGGAACTCATACCACCGGTGCTTCCAGATGCTAAACGATCTATCAAATATGTGAAGTCTAGGCTGGAGTTATTTGAAAATATCGCATCCAGAGGACCTGCAAGCTACAGTTATGATGAAGCTTTGGAGTCATTCTCTAAAAACAGATATGCTGACGAGGTGTTAACCAAAGAAGCTGCAGAACCTATCTTAAAGAGGTGTTTGCAACAACAAGGTGAGAAATTATTTCAAATGAATGCCGAATAATGCTACGGTTGTTTCACTCATCAAAATATCATTAGAGTTAGATTTTCGTTTTATTCAAATTGCGTAAACCTACTGTTAAGTCTTTATTAATTCTAATTTATAGTTCTTAATTTAATTTATTAAAGGTTCAATATTTATAACACTCACGAATTTATTAAGGTCTTTATTAATAATAATTTATTTTATACTTAATAATTACAAATAATTTATTTGCGTGCGATACAATTTCAACCCGATATCCGCGATCTTCTTGTTGACTGACTTTTTCAATAAAATCCATGTTATTATATATAAAATGCCGTTATCTCGAAGGGTCCGGATGCACCGATGACGTTACATCCATTAGGTGACTCATTCAGCAGGTCTAGAGAAGTCGATCGCATTCTCGTAAATTCAGGATATCGTCGCCGACGGCATTCTTAGTAACTGGACTGGTTATAATATATTTACAGTTTTTATACGTCATAATATTTATTATTGTAACACTACGTTACTCATTATGATCATCATCATTTTGGCTTTACAACCCTGCGTGGGTTCTAGCCTCCTCAAAAATTTCTCTCCAATCGTCCCTATCCATCGCCTTTCTCGGCCAAGCACGTATTCCCATATTTCTCATGTCTTCATAGATGTAATCAAGGAACCTTGTTCTGGGACTTCCTCTTCTTCTCTGATCAATGGGTCTATCAAGGAGCGTTTTTCCAGCTGGATCATTTTGTTCAATCCATATTACATACAATTATTACATTACAATGTTTGACATTGAATGTAAGAATGGGCACAAATTTCAGTTCCTATTTCATCTTTCGCTTCTGCTTCAATGTCTTCCTTTATTTGGTCCAGTAGGAGTCTATATCTGTCTGGCATCTTCTTCATTTACATTTTGATTCCTTAGCCTGTTGGTGATGTTTTCCGAGTACCGTTCTGCAATTGTCGCATCTCTCAGCTTTTGCACATTCCATTTTTTTGTATCCATTTTATTTTCTTTACTGGTGTTTGAAATTCTAGCCTCAATGTTGAGATCACTAGGCAATGATCTGAGTCTATGTTTGCGCCTCTATAACTTCTGCAGTTTATTACGTCTGTTCCATGCCTTAAATATATTAAGATGTGATCAATCTGACTCGTTGTTCTTCCATCAGGAGAGGTCCAGGTTACCTTGTGTATGTTCTTGTGTTCAAAATAGGTGCTAGCGACTGTCATATTGAGTGCTGCTGCTAAGTTTATCAGTCGTAATCAATTATCGCTACTGATGTTGTGTAGGCTATGCTTTCCTATCGGGCATTTCTATTCTTGCATTCATGTCACCTAATATAATGTATTTTCTGGGCATCTTCTGTAGGATTGCTCAAGGTCTTCGAAAAACTATTCTTTTATTTCCTCTGGTTTTTCATCAATTGGGACATCTGCATTGATCAAACTGTAATTAAAGAATTTTCCTTTTAAGCTTCAATAGCTCAATTCCAATTTTCGTTTGCAGAGTCGTCGTCGTGAGTTGCGTCCAGCTAATAGTTGCTGAGGTTCCGTAACTATATGTTTTTTACAGGAAGAGGTCTAGTCCAACCCCCAACCTGGAGGACCAGAGAACTCTTCTGTTAGCGTTGCCATGCCTTAGTCTGTTTTGATTCGCGGTTGGTATTTTCATTTTCCAACTACCCACCGGTCCTATGACCGGTTACAGCTTTCACCTATCCACCACCTGTGGACGCGTCCGATGAGAGACAGACTGCCCACGGACCTACGTTACTCAACAAATTCGATAATTGTGCAAACGGATCATTCATTTATATAATCATATTTAGGCGATCACAAATCAAACGACATCTAATCTGTAAATTCCAATCGGTTCCAATCGCGGGTTATGGGGCTGAATATTTAATAGTTTATTTATGTGCAAAAGCCAGTCACCGGCTATCATCAATATATATTTTTATTTTTAGATAATGGCAGATACATCTTCACTACAGACGAACGCATAAAAGCCTATATCAACCCTCTTCACGATATGAGATACGAGATAGAATCTTTCAAATCGGATCCGCTGAAATGTCCGACTTTAATAATATTATCCAAATTAAACGATCGTCCACGAAAGAAATACAGAGATCTTATCAGCAAATGGCAGGCATGCAATAATATTACAATCACTTACGTCGATGGTCACCACGATATTCATAATAATAATCCAAGGAGAGTAGCACCTTATATTAATAAATTTTTATTGGCACACCAATCTAAGTTATAAATATAAAGGTTTTGACGTGTTGGGGAATTTTTGTTATGTTATCTACGTTTAATATGATATGTGGTTAAATTATATCAAACGCGACGTTGACGTATCAGGGAATTTATGTCATTTGTTATCTAAGTCTAAAATGATATGTGGTTAAAATCATTATCATTAAAAAACTCCAGGAGGTATTGAAAAAAAAATATTATAGAAGCAAATAAAATTTGAAATTCAAAGTGTTTTATTATTCAACATACTTTCTTCTTAATTAAATACATTTATTACAACAAAACAGGTACGCTTCTATAGTAAAATTCACACTGAGAGTGCAGTACGGTTAAGATAGGAATGTTTATAGGTTGGAGCCCTTATTAACACTTCTTGCTATTTACATAAGAATAACTGCCTCAGCGCTACTGAAATCAGTATATTTTGAGTTTTGGAGCAACCCACTGCCTAACTGTGCAACCAATCAGTTATAACCTGTCACAGTAGTCGGCCCTCACTCTCCCACTCAATTTCAAAGTATTTACTATTCTTACAGTAGAAAATGGCACTCTATTAGTGCAGTTTTCTATATTATTAAGCATCGTCAATGTTTGGTAGTGTGACAAATTTGGGTAAATTCATTTCTTTTTCTTCAACCTTAAGTAACTCAACTTTGGACATAGGCCTCCTCCAAATCAATCCAGTGTCTTCTATTTTGCGCCATTTTCTTTCAGTTGTGTCATCCGATCTTCTTGATACCATCCGTCCATCTCATTTGTGGTCTTTCTGCTTCGCTTTCCTCACCATGGCTTCCATTGCATTTCGTGGTTCAATCTCTTATCCTTCAGTAGGGAATTGTGTCCTGCGAAGCTCCATTTTAATTTGGCAAAATGTTCTCCTGCCACTGTTCTCCTAGCCACAACCTTGGGTGGAATATTGACTGAACTTATTCCTGTTTCGTCACAGTTCAATATACGATCTGGGGTGAGATTATACTTTTCATAGATAGTTTTTAAGTTATTTAGGAACATATCAACATTGGTTTTGTTGAAGTTTGTTGCCCTTCCCAGACTTGTAGCTTCTGGAGACCTTAGCGAAAGTTCTTTGTGGCGTTCCATGAAGCCTTTAAACCAGTCATATCCTGCCATTTGAGATGCCATATCCTCATATTTCAGCCGAAATATCGAGACGAGTAAGAATGGGATGGGCAGCGTTTGGCAAACTTTCTTACGTTCTAAAAAATCAAACAATCCCTCTATACTTACGAAGCAAGGTATATAACTCCTGTATAATACCGGTGCTCACCTATGGAGCACAAACATGGACATTTACACAGGCCAATTTGGATAGGATAAGGAAGGCACAAAGAGCGATGGAGAGACAAATGTTGGGTGTATCACTTAGAGATAGAAAACGTAACCAGTGGATCAGAACCAGAACAAAGACAGTAGACGCGATAGAACAAGCAGCAAAACTGAAATGGAAATGGGCTGGACACAATGAACGTCTCCAAGACGGACGATGGAACAATGCCATCGGAAAGTGGCGTCCATACAATGCAAAGAGATCAAGAGGCAGACCACAGATGAGGTGGAAAGATGACATCAGGAAACAAGGAGGTCCCACATGGCAGAGAACAGCTCAAGATAGGGAAAGATGGAGAGAACTGGGGGAGACCTATATCCAACAATGGAAGGATAGAGAATAGGTTCAAAAAAAACTGCATAATGAAGGACAAGAACTTGAAAGTTGAGTTCATGGACGGGATGCCTCCTGGCTCAGTTGTAAAAATGCCACAAAAATCTTCTTACGTCACTAGTGAAATTTTTCTGCACTGGTTAAAAAGTCATTTCCAACCTAGAAAACCAGCCGAGAAAGTACTTCTCTTACTTGATGTTCACACTTCACGCACCAGTTCCTTGCAAGTCCGAGTGTACACGGAGCAAGAAGGAATCATTTTGATGAGTATTCCATCCCATACTTCGCACTGGCTACAACCTTTGGACCGATCCTTTTTCAAATCACTTAAGTCCTACTTTTATAGTGCTTGTAATTATTGCATTACAAACAATCCATTCAGAAAGATAAGGCAGTTGAGCAAGCAATGAAAGATAAAGAAAAAAAAAAAGAAGAAACAAGATCAACTGAGAAAAAAATTGAATCAAAAAAGATGTTTCTCAACAAGCCAAAAAAGGAACCATCTGGCAAAGTGACACAGTTTGAAAGTTCATACTCAGAAAGCTATGATTCTGCAGATCTAGTCCAAGAAGGTATGTCAGTAGAAGAATGGGATGAAGATGAATGTGGAGAGGGTTACAATGAAACTACAAAAAAGAAGACTGGGTGAAGTGTGTACAGTGTTCTCGGTGGTTTCATGAAGGTTGCTCTAGATTTGAAGTAAAATGTGATTTTTGCGGTACCAGGGAAATAATGTCACAAAAAGGGAAGTTTCCCATTAATAGGAAGATTGTGGTCAAGAAAGCAAAAGAGTAGACTTGTTTATTTTTTTTTATTTGGTTATTGTAACATTTATTATTATGTAAAATATACATATTTTTTACTTTATACTGGGTTTGTAGTCATTGATCCTACTTTTTACCACTGGTCCATCTCTCCAAGCTACCCAGATACTTGTCATGATTTAATGGTTGATTGAGATAAATCTGGACAATAGGTATTTCAATATTTTTCAACTCTGTCATTATCGGTTCCTTATTTTCTCTTTTAACATTTCTAATAAGATGCATAATCAGTATACAGACAGTTGCATTGGTTCTATAGTGTAATGCCCCTAAACAAAATGATAATATTTCCTCATCATTCATGTTGATAACAATAAAATCAATATGTTGCTCAAAAATATCATAAATATAAGGTCCAAATTCAGATATTAATTGTTCCAAGTAGTCTATTACACCAATTGCAAATTCACTCGTAGTGGCACTGTTAACTTGCAATTCAATTAGTTTGAGAGGAACATGTTGATCAAAACTGTCCAGCACACTAAAATTATTCCAATATTGCCGAACTAAATTTATAAGTTGTTTGTCAATGTCTTTAGTACGTACATGTTCGCATAATATCTCAAAGAAATGTATTTGTGATGGATTTGGTGTATTTGATTGGCTTGAAAATATTATATCTAAGATAAGGGTCCTATTTTCAGGTCTATGATTTAAGAGTTGTACTAAAAATTTATCAAAACTGTCCGGTCTATTCTGTACAGTTATCGTGAAATACTTTCGCACTACATGCACTATAAAATTATCTGACAATGAGCTCAAAATATCCGTATGTACTTGCCGCAGTATCTTATCTAGATAGTCCGCAATAGTTATTTCCCATGCTTCAGTTAATCCTTCCAAAAACTTCCAGCTATTTTCTAAATATATTGTTCTGTACTTTAAAGGCATTTTCACTTTTACCAGAGTGTACACTAACTTTTTATCTAATCTATTTACTCCACCAATTTCTTCTAGAATTCCATCCAAATATTTTTGGGACGGATGTTTCAAGAACAATTTTAAAGAGGCCGAAACATGATTTGTTTGAAATGAAATATCACTTTCTTTAGCTATGTTAAGCACGTTTAAGGCGCATTCTTTATCCATCAACGCGCAGCTCAGAAAAATCGCATGTTTTCTAATAGAAACAGATAAACCTGATACAGCTTCTATATAAGGATACAATTTTTGTTCGGCGGTTTTATAGAAGCTAGAATATAACGCACGTATACCTGAACGGAGATAGTCTCCCCTACAAAACTGTAAGGCTATCGGTATAGCTTTATATGGTTCAATTACCCTAACCAATAACCTAACAGCATCACAGCGCAGGTAGTTTATATAGGGAACAACCCCGTTTTCTGTTTTCGTGAACTTATCTTGTTGAGGTATATATTTTTCCTTAACAAGTTCCAAGAAATCACTCGTAGGAAGTAATTGTTGTAAATTTTCAAGTAATCGTTTATGATTTTCTACGTCATCATAATCATATAATTTTCCTTTATAAATACGGCATAGTATTTCATCAAACCCCAAGTGTGAATAATGTTTGATAACGTCTAAATTTTTAAGGAAAACTGTGTAAACACTTTTATAAGCTATTTTGCTGAAGTACGGTACAAGAAATTTCGGTTCGTTCATTATAAACCAATCAACAATATCTCCATCCAGGTGATTGTCTATCAAACAGCCAAAATAACGCTCTAATAGATCGTTTTCAAACTGTGTTCGTTGCTTTTTACAAATAAACTCTTCAAATAATATACCAAACCCACACATATGTCCTGCATCACTTATCATTTTCATTATTAAGTCAACAAAATCAACGTTAAGACAAACTGTGTTTTCTGGAAATTTGTAGTTGTATTGTATTGTCAATAATAGCAAAGATCTATCATAAATATCAAAATCATTGACTCTGGAGACAACATTTTGAATCATATCCATATATACCGAAAAATCGGTTATAGTTATACAGTAATCCGGATGCCTCATACTAAAATTTATAACCATATTTAAATATTTAAATTTCATCTTCTTGTAAACGAATGGATCCTTACAAGTGAATTCTGGTAAAATATTTAATATTGCAGTGTATATACGCTTCTGGACAGAAATGTTTCTTAGTGATAGATGTATATATTGAGACTGATTATCGTTTATATAATCCATAAGATCCTTTTGTAGTCTTTCCCGCTTAGAAATAAAAATTCTATGTATTCCTCTTGTAAGTCTGGATGATCATCGTAACGATATTCTTTTTGAATTCTCATAATTTGGATCATTTCGTCAATATACTTCCAATGGTTGTCATTAAACGGTTTAGGATCAAAATAGAGGCGGATTTTATGCAATATTGTGTTTCTGAATTCAAAGTCTTCATTCCTGTGCCTGTAATAAAAAGAAATTGTAAATAAGTTAACTAATTATGTGAGATTTGTTTAGAGCAATGTAACTTCTAACACAAACTTCATCATTTTCGCATGTACATCGCAATTAGAAAATTTATGGTCCAAAATAGCAAATTGATTACAAAGTTAAGAAAAATAAGGTCAACATCAAATATTTATACAATTTTTTACAAGACAACATGGAACAAATAACAAATAACAGAACATACACCAAAAGATCCAAAACAGGTAAAACAAGCAAGAAAAAACAATTGGGGGATTGTTTAATATGTATATATACAGGGTGGTCCTTAAGTAATTGTACAAAAAGAAACCGTAGATTCTACACTTTA